CAATAATTTCCCATAACCCTGCGCAATTTTCATAGAAAATTTGTTTCTTCTTGTGGACCCACACTGGTGTTCTCATACTGCTTATCATTTTGATATAGACTCAAGATCATTCAATTATCTGGTTCTTTTCAACTCTCTTCTCAATGTTGGACAGTTTTTGTAGAAGTACACAAAAATTATAGGTTATAAGTAGGCAACCCATTTATACTTGTCAAAAAACATTATTATAGATGCTGCCTAAAGCTTCATAATAAAGATGGAAAAAATATTTAAATTACCCAAATAATCAAAGGAAGATGAGCCTTAGTTTTATGGCTATATATATGTACAGAATTAAAAACATATGTTTATTTTATGAGAAGTAAAGGTTGGATGCTTCTCACCAGCTTGACTTGCTCATTTAAATATTGACTTTTAAGAATGTAAATCAGTTTTCATCATTAAGAGTCTGCATAAATATGGTAGACAAAAATACATTTAAATTTTTAAAATTTTATTATGGGAGCTCTGCAAAATCTAATGAAACAGTCACAAAGGATGAGAACATATACAAAAAATTTACTTAGAGTTCAGTTACTTTATTAACAGGTCTGAAAATTGTTCTATGATCTTACAGAAAAATTATTTATTATTTCATTATTTGTTCTATTTCATAAGGACATAAATGTGATGGTAAAAACCCCTCAACAGTATGTTTATAAAAACCTGTTGTTGAGCTTCAGATAAAAGATATGGCAGTAAGTCGAGAAGAGAGTTCTTATGAATGCTTTAATTGTTTGGGGCCATAGGAAATGAAATCACATTAAAAAAACCAAAAAAAACCCCCTCAATTTTACTCACTTTTGTTCTTTGAGCCACTGATTAACATTTGCAACCACTAACTCACTTTCCTGATGGAGGTGACTGTTGTCAGTTCGTGCTGCTTCCAGAGACTGGCACAAAGTTTCCAGCTGTGGATGCAGAGACATCAAAGCGTATGATGGACTCCCTAGAACACACTCTATCTGGAATACTAATAATAGTCTGCACTACTTGTAAAGAATCAAGTCATTTTTCTCCACTCCTTCAAATAATCAGGGTTTCCTTGTACATGCTATTAATTGATTCAATATGCTAGAAGGAATGTCTGAACTTTTCCCACGCCTTACATTTACCCGTTTATTATAATATACACTGGTCTACCTCCAGAGGTTGTTTTAATTGAAATCAGATTTATTTTATAAAAATGGAACCATTATAACTTACTATGTTTCAGTTTAAATGTTTTATTCTTTCCATTTTTTGTTTTATTTTTGCTCTGTATTTCTTTAAGATTAGCTCTTTGGTCATGGATCATTGAATTTAGAATAGAAAGAATGTTACAGGGATGGAGTTATTTTGGTACAGGCAATATATATAAAAAAATAGGGAATGCTGAAAGACTGAAAACTTAAAACTTGGAAGTTGAATGTCAGACTTTCAACTTGATGTCTCCAAATGGAATCAAATACAAGCCAATGGTGTTGAAAATCTGTTAACGTCTGATAGATAGTCAAGGCCTAGGTTTGATGGTTTCTAAACAACCTCATTTGGGTACAGTTCCTCAGTTTACATCACAAAAAAGGCATCATAGGAAGAATTATGCCAACATACTCTAAATAGGTCAAAACCTGATTTTTTCAATAGTCTCTTTCTCACCTTGCTGCTAGAAACACTACTAGTGCTGGCTCACAATAATTAATAATTATGCAGAAAATAATTTCTAGAAAAGTAAATATACTTTCAAAGACTGTAATCATAACAAAATTCGGAGTGGAGAAACCTTTTGTTCAACAAACAATAACTAGAGCTTACATGAAGAAACAAGTGAGAACAGAATATATTGGTCTTGAATGCATTGGCCATAATAGATTTAGAAACCACTACTTGGCCTCTACATATAAACAAGAAATCTACATATAAAACCATATGCATATTTTTAAGAAATATATATATATATATATATATATATATATTCATGTTTTTCCAATGAGAACATAGATTTAAAATGAACATCTCCTTCAATAACATTTTACCATTGTTAAACTGAAAAAAAATTAACATCAAAATTAATGTGCTTTTCACTGCTGTTCAACATAGTTTCATATCAATAACATTTAAAACTTCTGAGTGTAATAAACCTTCAAATATTATGCATAAAAGCCTCTTCCAGTATTAATATGCATAATATAAAATGGAAGAGACTATATATATCTAATTAAAATCAAATCAAAATAATATCCACTTATTCTTGTGAGAGCAATCTGTTATGCATGTTAATGTTATACAATAGATTCCACTAATACAGTAAAATCAATTTACTTTTTTTTAAAGACCTTCAAAACATTATCATGAATTATTAAGCTACACACCATTTATATCTTGTTGCTTTTGTAATTATGTAAAATTAGAAAAGAAGGTTTAGTGATTGACACGTTATGATTTCCTGATGTACTGACAAAGCATACAAAATATGTCAGATGTTGACAAAAACAAGTTGGTCTGTAAGGTTTTAGACAGGTTACAAATATGAGTGGTTTATATATTTATGGAAATATACATGTCTATATGTTTAAATGAGAGTAATTTGAAACAGAAAACCATATACTTCTATACATGTAATATCAAAAATGTTGGAAAGAAATTTCATATTTCAAGTGTTCTGTATTTAAAAAAATGAGACAAATACAACTGATGTGGATACACAGTGAAACTCAGTACGAATAAAACGAAAGTTTTCATAATTTTATCATTTTTATTTAGACTTTTGAAAGATAATCTTTGGCAGTATGGTCCTTTTTCTTTGCTTTTGAAAAGTTGTGAGCAAGTTGTAGTCTTCATAAAAATGAAAATTCAGTAAATGCAATTTAGGTAGATAAGCCATGACCCTACAAGAAAGAGAGAGCACATCCTCCTAGCATTTCTCATACTTTCAATCATTACTGTGTGCCTTCCCATCTAGATTGACATCTCTACAGAAAAGGCAAAGGAATATGTAAATTTGTAGTAATTTTGGACCAAGCCACATTATGCAGGAAGAAATTATAGTTGCCATCAATTTTTCCCTGTCTCCAATAATCTTTGCTGAATCATTGCTTGGAGTGTGTGGAATACCACCAGGCTTCTTAGAGATTGATGTTAGCAATGAATAAATGGTTAAGGGGAAGTCTGAGCACTATGTGCTTTAGGTATAAATTTATCACCTCCATCATGTGAGCAGAGGAATACTGGCTACAGGGAATGGGGCAGAGCTGAGCAGGCAGCAAACGGGGCTCTACAAGACTACTTCTTTTCATGGGAAACCTATGTTAGATGGTGACTTGTAACACTTGGGACAGAAACTTTTTGTTAGTTCTACAGCCCGCTCCCTCCTGAAGTTGTGTGCACTCTGTGCCAGCCACATGCTGGTAAGTACCATGGCACGCTCATCAGTTTGACCATGCCATTGCCCAGGCTGGTTTCCATGAAAAATGAGGTCTAGTGATTGAGAACAAAGGAACAGTTGTCTACTGAGCATTGTTTCAATACAGAAAGGATCACATCTTAGCCCTGGAGTATGCCAAGATGTTCTAACATACATATAAAAAATTATGTTTTCAAAAAAATATTGAACATAATTTTAAGAGATTAGATATGCAAACATGCTTAAGTAGAAAGCTGGGATTCAGCCATTAAAGTCACCCCCACTTGTGTCCTAAGAAATAATTTGAACCCAGCTCCACATAAGTGGTTCCTTTGCTAACCCAGCATGCTGTGAATAAATTAAATTAATAAGATAAGCAAATGTGAGGCACAGTTTTAGTAGGAAGCTGCTTTTACTGGATCAAGGGCTTTTCGTTGCACCATGTAATTCTAATTCATTACATTTTCCAAATATTGTCAACAGTTTGAAATGTTGTTTTCTGCTACCAGAAAATATGCAACGTTGTCCATAGTGAATTTTACCACAAATTAAGGCTCTTTTCTTCTCCTAAGGAAAGGCTACCAAAGTTGTAGAGTAGATAATCACTGATTGATGTGAGTGGACCTGTGCAATACAAAACAATGAGCCTAAGAGCTCCTAAGAGCTTTTAGGAAATACCACTACTAAAAGTTTTCTTGGGAACAAAATTAAAAATATAGCCAAGTTTCATGACGTTAAGTTACTGATGATTTTACATGACACAGTCCATCTAAACATGCTGAAAAGGTAATGAAGTGTAACTTCAGTGCAAAAGCGATGTCCTTAGGTTGTGCCAAATTAATAGATTTTGCTGAATCTCTCTCTAGAGCTGAGAAGAGAGTCAGTTACTTTCAGTGTGACAGGTGAGTACAGAGATATGATGGGAGCATAGTCAATTTATTCAATATACCTCCTAATTGGTTTTGTGTCCTAACCTCCCTTTTATGTTTTCTCTGGAAAAAATACTGTAAAAAGGTCATAGTATGACTGCAGAAACAAGTTACAATGTGTTTTTTGGCAGAAGTTTCAGTCTTCTCTCACCTCTCTCCCTCAAATCTTTTATTCTTTTTAGAATTTTTTAAAATTATTATCTCATCTTTAACTATGATGATGAGGTTACACTTGTAACACCATATATTATGACTGGGGACTGGTTATGGAAGATCATGACTTTATGAATAGAAGACATAGTAGTTTAATGGAGAAGAAATACATGGACATTGCAATACTTTGGTGGACAATATACATATATTTAGGAAAAAGAATGACCAAGGTTTAAGACTTTGAATATAACAGGAAAAAATGACCCAGGCTTAAAACTTTGAATACAATTGAAGTAAACATATTACACATTATTAATTCAATAAATAAGTTTCTCATTCTAGACTCTGCCATAACATCAGTCAATTGCCAATCTTCCCAGTAAGGAAGTGTAAGTCTCAGGCTGCCTGTCTGCTTAGGCAAAAGTTATTACTTTGTTTGCATGTAAGATTTTAATTCCTGGACAAGGAAAAACACAAACAAAACAAACATTTTTTTCTGGTGCAAGATATTTATATCATGAAGATGATACATTGAGTGATTTGTCAGTAATCCTCATATGATATTTTCTCTCATTTAAAGAAATAATAGCTTCTTTGCAGTTATAACTTAAATCTGAGAAAGATGTCACATTAATGGAACAAAAAATCTTACGCAACAAAGCATATATTAATACAAAGAACTACAGAAATATGTTTATATTTTGATTTACAATTATTTTAAACCCATACTTATGCATGTTTTCTACACTGAAAAGCACTATTTAATGTTTCCAAATACAGCTTTCTTTTGCTTTGTTTAGACCCTTATTACTTCTGAAGTAAATTGAACCAAGATACATGATGACTAGATATAGTAAGAAAGGTCTTGATCCTGGGCCTATAATACCTTAAATGCACGCTTGAGAATTTAACTTATACGATGCTGGTCGAAGTTTATTGTTGTTCCGTTTTTGTGGTTTAGATTTTGCAGAGACAGCTTTGGAGCATTCTAGTAATTTCTGTGTTTTCTCCTGTTGTTGAGAGGGTTATATGAATCTTTATTATTCAGGTATCCAAAGAACAAGAGATTACATCAGCAATCATTTTACTAGGAAACATATCCTACAAAGACACTAAAATTTGTAAAGAAATCTTCCCATGTCACTTCACCATAGTTGTGGAGCATTTTGTCATCTAAGGTATGGAATTTCTATGACAGCATATTAGAGAATATGTTAGGTAAATAGACACAAAAATAGGAAAAGCATCCTTAGATATATAGCCATTAGTATGTCTCTCTTAAATTCCTGGTTAGCAGTATACTAAATGGGCTGAAAACTTCACATTTAACCAGAATTTCCCCTTATATAATCAGTGAAAGCACAGGAGATTTAGGGAGGCTTTAAAATTGTAGAATTATGGAAGGAGATAGGTGTCAATGAAGAATGGATATCAACTCCCTCTTTTGCCTTGTCCATATTGGCCATGTTAGAAGTACGTACAAGTTAAACTAAGTTTGCAGATTATTTTTTCCCTTCACGGCGTTTTTTCAAAAAGACAAGATTTCTGAAAGACAATCTATAATTTTGTGGGTATCCATTTTTATCTGCTATTAAATATTTCCATATTCCTACTGTTTATAATTCAAGTTTTATTTTGTTTTGTCAAGTTAAGAATCCAAAATTACAAGGCAATTAAAAAAAATGCAAAAGAAATTTGTAGAAACACTACAGGTGTTGCTTACAGGATGAGCAAATTTATAATCAGTTCAAGAAATACTTTATAGGAAATGAAAAAGAAAAACAACAAAAAACCACTTACTTAAAGTTTGGAAAATGGCATAATTTAATAAGGAAATTTGACTCATTTAATTACTTTAAATCAGAAGTAGCGCATTACTCATGTTGCATAATGTAATTGTGGAATTAGTAATTTATTACTTACTGAAGTGATATTTAAAAAAAAATCCACCTTAATTTAGATTTATCATTATAAAGAGAGTGTAATAGAGAGGACAAGAATGAAATATTTTCTTTAGTCCCTTTCTTCTGGATGTTGCATTTTCAACAGAGGCAGATGGGACAACTGTGTGGTGGGACACGTGTCTGACCCGATCACACAACTTCCCCATTCTGACAGCTTCTTCAGTCTCGTGTCACTGATGGCAAGACATAGTGATAGCAATTTCTTGTCAGCCTGAATTTTTGCAGATGTCCGTCACTGTTAAGTATGGGCCAGCATCAGGAGCATTGGAATCTTTGACATGATAGCTAGATTACAGCCTCTGCTGGATTACCAGGTGAGACAGGCTCTCTTACACGTCACATTCTGCAGGAGTCTGTCTAAATGTCCCAAGATACTTGCATTCATCCTATTTGGTTCTAACTGCTTATCTGATAAAATACATTTTTTAGTGATTTTTTTGCTCTGTTTTATGCACGTAGACCGACAGGACTGTGTAACTTCATAATTTAACTTTCTTGAAGTTTATGTCTGGGGATTCTTTAATCTGCTTCCTTGATCATAGGATACAACAGAAACGCAGTTTTGTGATCCTGATCTGCTCTCGCATTGTGACTTGTTTCTCTTTATTGACTAGATGGATAAGCACAGATACCTAAGTTCCTGCAGGTGAACCATTTAATGGTGGCTGAATAAGTTTATTAAAAGCATATTTGTTAAACTCAGGTGTCTAAGATAGCAAATACAGAAATAAAGTAGCATGACTCCTGACTTGCTATCTACCTTCAGATGTACCATCAATAGCAGGTCACAGTGTGATCAGCTGCCTCAGCAATTGATTAAATCAAATTGAGCAACTCATGATTTCTGTTAATTATTGCAAGGGCAAATAGCATTTAACTGCATACCTTAAAATCACAATAAACTTTTCTTCCATCTCTTCACTAGAATAGGAAAAACAAGCAGTTTGTGGCAGAGCTGATACGACTAACAATTGCAACACCCTTCTAAACCTTCTCTTATGTGTTTATGGCATTAAACACAATCTTTCTACTGCCCACCCTTATTTGCTCTGGGGATGAAAGTCGTAAATGGTATTCAATGCCCTATTAGTTTATCAGCAACCACTCTAATTCTTTTTTCTTTTTTGACCTATGGTAAAGAAAAGTGACAGACAGTATATTGACGTATATTTCTGAAACCAGAATGTAATCAAGAGGGTTCAGTGGCTTGTATTTTAAGCACCTTATGACAATGTAATGTAATAAATTTTAGAGCTTTCAAATTTTGAAACCAAATATTAGATATGCATCCATTTTTAAATAGGCTGAATTTTCATTAATAGCTTAAAATAAAAGTTCTCTACCATGAAGGCACAGAAACATACAAATGTTTTCCACTTAAATCCTGGAAATACCTATCCAAATTTAGCAAGTTTTCTTGAAGGAGGAAGCTTATGGGCAAAAAAAGGAGGGGGAAATAAGGATGGGGGGCTTTTCTTTGAACTCCTAGTTCAGCTAATTTCAGGTTTTTTTAGAAAGAAGAAAGACATGATGTTTCCTGCAGAAATATAAAGATGCAAATAATGTGGAGAAAGACCAAATACTTTTTTTTTTTTTATGGGTAAAGGCAGCCACAATGGGCTCTGAGAAGTTTGGGAAAGGGACTATTATGTTGCTTATGCAAACCTATATTGTATGATTTCCCCTTCAACAGTGGAGTTTTTCTTTGCTGCTGTGCTTTGGGGAATAAAGATGAAAAGCTAGTAACAATTTGGCTGCATGTCTTTAATAAAATCCAGGTTTTCCTTTGAGGTCACTAAAAGAAGCACAATTTCTAATTCATGTTTTAACAAATCCATAATGCATCAGTAGACTCACCTTCTTGCCTAAGAGAATACCACAGAAAAATCATGCTGTGGGTGCAAAAAAAGAAGTGCACATCACTTTGAATAAGTAGTTGAATAGGAAAACTAGTTCTTAAAAACTTCTGGTTCCTGTTTCCTGAACTATCTGCATGTTTATATTACTCATTCATTGGGAAGAAGAAAAAAAACCAGCAAAAATTGTTTGGGGACTAGGGATTAGACTTGAAGTCTCCCTGCTTCCTTTTGGCTTGATTCCTTTTTAGTCTTAGAAGTCTTGTATTTTTGGCAGCACAGTGAGCTGGCTTCAGGAGAAGAGATGGCAGGTTTGCCCATCCGAGCTCCACAAGGCTTTGTATGGGCACAGCATGTCATGACATGACATGGAAAAGATCTGGGACTCATCCATCTTTCCCATTACCCTTAGGTATGACTAGAATAAGAGTCCATGCACTTTACTACTGTAGTTTATATAGGACTTGAAGCTTCTGTGTATGTTCTGCTTGCTGAATTCAGTTTAGTGCCAGTTTGTTGTGATTAGGTCTGATGAAAATGCAAACTCGTGCTAGCAGGACACTCCCGTTTGCAGGAAACTTTGTATTCCAGTTGCAGGCAACTTGTGTTATTTGCTTAGGTGGCATCTCAAATTACAGGCTGCATTCAACTCTTAGTTTTAAGCACCATATTCTTAAATGAAAATGTTTTACATCCTTTTGATTTCATTCTATTTAAAACAAATGTAACATATTTAAGGATTAAGCATAATTGAAGCGAAGTCCATGCCGTGTAGTAAAGGTTAAAAGGCTTTACATTCACATGGGAACTAAAGTGACCAAAATGCTGTTTTCTTTAGTGCATTTTTTAGTAATGTCTTTCAGATAAGAGTGGAATGGATAATGTATATATTCTTTAACAAATAACTAACAATACAAGAAGTAAATATAATTGGTTCAATAAAAGCATGGTAGATGACTATGGTGGCAGACAATTAACATGCTTCTGAAGTAGAAAATTAGTGTTTCTGCTGAGATAATTTCCTCTTGACTGGACTTCAAACATTTCATAAACTGTGTGACTGGTAAAAGTTTTACATTTATTTCCCAACATTTAAATAAGAGAAATAAGTTTAGGGGAAACTACTCTATATTTTAATTTTTCAAATCTGTGTTACCTTCACTGAAGATCTGGATTACTGTATGTCAATCCATAAAAGAAAAAATATGCCCTTCAGTTTACTGATTGCTGTTCTCAAATATATACATGTGGCAGTGTGCAAACTGTTAAACACACAAGTTGGAAACAAATATATTTAAAATGTCAAAAGAGTTTATATGGACAAATGTCATCTGCTTAAAAACCCCAATAAATAATTTGATATTTTACTAAATATTTATTCAAAATTATGACTCCTGGGTGAATCTGTTGCAGTGGATTTATTGAAGTCAATGTCTAAAAATACATAGACAATGTGGATTCTGTGTTTGCATGGCTATTAAATTTCCAGAGTGGGTCAGATTAAACTAAACACTATCTACCACAGCTGCCTTAACATGTCTTCTCAGCCAGTATTGACACTGATATAGGCTGTCACCGCAGCCTTAGAGGTTTAGGTCAATATAATGGCCATTCTTATTGGAACATGTTTAGCCATCCTAACTAGCTCAAAGTATGGTGGGATCCATTTCAACTGCATGTACCACTACAGAAGGCTCTCCAAAGAAATCTGAAAGGCTTTTCACCTAAAAGATTTTATAAGTAGAATTTCAAATGGAGGAATCACAATGTCTTTGCTTAATAAGAAGGGAAAAAAGGTAAGCTGGAAACGCATAGCAAAAATGGCAAATCTTTATAAATAAGCTTTTCTTGGAATCAGAATCACAAAATGTTTTGGGTTAGAAGGGACTTTGGAGATTATCTGTTTTCAACCCCCTGCTATGGGCAAGAACACCTTCCACTGGCTTCTCAGAATTCCATCCAACCTGGCCATAAACACCAGCAGGGATGGGTCATCCACACCTTTTTTGGGCAGCCTGTTCCAGTGCCTCAACATCCTCACAGTGAAGAGCTTTTTCCTAATATCTAATCTAAAACTTCTCTCTCTTAATTTGAATCCATTCATTCCCCCTTGTTCTGTCACTACATGCTCCTGTAAAAAGTCCCTCTCATCTTTCTTGTAGGCTCCCTTCAGGTATTGCAAGGCCACAATTAGGTCACCAAAGCCTTCTATACTCTGGATTTGTTTATGCTACACTTACAGATGAAAATAAAATTTTCCATATTCACATTGTGAGTCCTTGAATACTCAATACGTGTATTTGCTTTATGCATGCAACATTTAGTGCTCTCAAAAATACATTTACTATTCTATCTTCCTACTATTTTTTCTCTGTATCACCTGTGGTTTAAAGGTGCAATTTACTTCTATGTTAAAACAAATAAAAGCTGCTGAAAAAACTCTGCAAGAGAAAAACTCACTCAGATAAGTTTCTAAAACATAAATGCCATGAATCATAAAATATTTAAAGGTGTAAAAGTATTCAATTGTAACAATTTAAATAAACCCATAAACATACAATACTGAATCTCTGTTGATTCAAACTGTTACTTACGTAGTATCAATAGCTGTAAAAGTGACACATGACATCTGCTGCTTCTTGATTTTCTTTCCCATGATATTTACTCCAGTTTCTAATGCAGGGGGAAAAGAGGGAGAAAAATCTTTTAAAGCACAATTTTTTCTGTCTAAGTGAGACTATGAATTTAAAATTCAGAGAGAAACAATAGGCAGTAGATAGTTACCCTTCACCTTCACTAAAATACTTTGCTAACCTCAGTATATTTACTGTAAAGTAGTACTGCATTAACAGATTAAGTTTCTTAACCCCTTTTAAAGTCTCTTTTTTCGTTAAAGGTTACTAACGCAATATTTGTGATTACAAACCTATTTAGAGATTTCAATATATTTGAAACTATATTTCCAGGCCTTTTTCTTGGAAAAAGTATGTAAAAAGAGGACTCTGTATAAAATTTATTAAAATAAACCTTACTGCAATTTTTCATTATTTAGTTATGAAAGTAGAAGTTTCATCAGCTATTACACAATAGTCATAAAAGGCCTTTATGGTTATCACATTAATGTTCATAGCAGGACTGGATAGCAAGTAGTGATGACTAAATGTACTGGAATAAAGTTTATAATGGAAATTCCTGAATTGCCCCATCTCCATTCCAAAAAAAATTGCAATCACCCACTTTTATGCATCTATATGTATATATAGAGAGATCATTCATTTGATGTCCTTTCAGATTTTTGCTGGATATAGAAATATCTTCAACATATTATGAACTTTATTTTTTATGGAAAACCAATCTGGCTCTGGTGTCTTTAGTGAGCAGCTTCCTGTAAATTACAGAACCACAGAAAGGATCAGGCTGGAAGGGACCACAGGACGTCATGTGCTCCAACTTCCCTGCTCAGCCAGGGTCTTCTTAGAACATATAAGACAGGACTCTGCACAGATCCAGACAGTTCTTGCATGTCTCCAGTGAGGCAGACTCCACAACCTCTCTAGGCAAGCTGTTCCAGTGTGAAGTTGCTTGCACAGTGAAGAACTTCTTCCTGATATTCGGGTGGAATTTAGCTGACTGAATTACAACCATAATCTGAGCAATGACTCATTGAAAGTTAAAAAAATGGGCAAGAAACATCTATGAATATCAAGAAAAATAGTTTTCCAGTGTTAAGAAACAGTAATCTATGTGATAATAGGAGGAAAATCTGGCCTTAGCCGACCTGTACCTCAAATTGTGTTGATGCCAAAAAAGCCCAATATGGCAGAAGGGTAGAATATTTTTACCATGTTTTAAGCAGAAAAAGGACTTTCTTTGGCAGAGAAGATTAAGGAAGAAAACAGAGCAGGTGAGCATGGGACAGTTACTCTTTCAGCAGGGAAACATCTTTCTATAATTGACTTTAAGAACCTCATTGACCAGTTGGCTAGCAGCAGCTCCAGCTGAAGACGAATGAAAGGAAGAAAATTTGACTCCATTCTGTCTTTCCCGTAGTGATGCAGCAGAATAATATGGCTACTATGATGTTGCTACATACAAGATATTTGGAAACCTATTGTAACATAGCTTTATAGCAATACCCTATAAAACTTGATTTTCTTACTGTCAAAAATCTGCATTGGGAATTCTGCAGCATATAAATGATTTACAATGTTTTATTTTGTACACTAGATATATTCATCAAAGTGACTTTGACCTGAAAAAATGCAACCAGTCATCCTATGCATAAGGGACACAGAAAATATCAGATTGTTTTGTATTAAAAGGAAAATTACTTTCAAATCAGAGATACTTTTAAATAACTCTCTAGTTTGTCTTTTTAGGAGATACAACTAAGTATCATTTATATGGTAGTCCCATTATTGTAGATGCAGTATGAAAAAAATAACAAGTACTCTAAATATAGTAGTAATGTGGTAATGTAACATGATTTACCTGCAGGAGATGCTGAAAAATTGTCAATGGTAACCAATCCAATGAAGGAAAAATGAATTTTTCTCACTAGATGCAATGGATACCTAAATAAATCAAAGCCACTATCAAAAAACTATTAATTTTTTCAGGATATGTATTCTGCAGAGAAAGAATTTTGATTTAATGTGATTGGAAAACACATAGCACCTTGTGGGTGCTTTTATAACAAGTATGAAGAAATAGAATCTATCTGAGTTCTTACATGAATATTTCACTTATAAACTTCTCCTGATTCAGAAAGGGAAAGAAAAACAAAGAAAAGAAAACAGTGGTAGTACAAGAAAATGTGAATCATGTGCCAGTGTTCTTAATTTCATTATACAACTACCACTTGATAAATAATTTGAAGCAGCAGTCCTTTTTTTGTAAACTATTTTGTTGTCTATAATGAACACAAAAAATTCTACCAGAGAACAGGTAGAATTATTAACAATAAATATGTCAGTTTTAAACATGTGGGAAAACTGATAATCTACTTGAGGGTATACTTCTGATCATCTATCTGTTATTTATTAAAAAAACCATATACCACATAATTATTAGGAGCTTGACACATAGAAATTGCTGACAATATGCTACATCCTTTTTTTAAAATAATTTGCCATAGTGACCCTTGATGTCCCATATTTAAAGCAAAAAAAGAAAAAAAAGAAAACTAGTAGCAAATGACAAATGAATGTGTGACAGTTCTGGAGGATGGTAACTGACATGGAAAAAACTGAATTCTTGAAAGAGATGTGTCAGAAATCTTGGCAGAAAAAGGTAAGGCTGATGCTTCCTCTGTATAAAGAAGCAGTCTGACTAGTGTCTCATTGGCCTCTGTAGCAAGTCATGCTTACTTCTTAAAAATTGCCTCTGTCCTTTTAAATGTATTATATTCAATGTCAAGTGGTTTTGTGTCTTTTTCAATTAGATTTAAAAAAAAACCTTTTCTTGCATGTAGTTCCTTCTAAAGGGTGTATTTGTGCATGTCACCTCATTATCTACATTTTGAAAAACAAATTGAAATATCCACCACTATGTTTTCTGCAGTCCTTGAATTATTTTTTCACCTCATTCTCAAACCCTTCTCAGTTTTGACATCAATCTTTCTGATATATTTTATGACAACAAAATCAGTGCCTCCTTTTACAGAAGTCCTCTTCTTATGCGTCCAAAATGTAATGTACTCCATCAGTAATCTGTCACTTTACTCTGTCACTATGAGGTTGCATTAGGTGTTGACATTGAGTTACTTGCCCACATATAATGACTAGATTTTTCTCCAAATTACTGCTTTTCAGGACAGAGTCACCTGCTTTTAGATATAGCAGATAGCACTACTTTATTTTATTTACAGTGACTATATATTTACTTTCAAATCATTAATAAAGCAAGTGGCCAAATTTGTATCCTTTCAAATCCTAGCTGGATTTCATGATCTCATCAGAGATCAGATGCTTTCAGACCTAACATTTATACCCATTTACATATGTTCTTAGTGCTCATTTTCTTTTAGTCAGAGTATCATTGTTGCATTTCCAGTGTGCAACAGTTGTCAGGAAAAATTTTTGTCAAATCTTTTAAATATTAAATCTTCACAAATCAAAAATCTAATTATTTTATTTAACCTAAAAAGTATTTTTTCTTACAAACACACTCTTTACTTATAAAAGAGTATAAGTGTATAGTACAGGTATCCATGTATAAATGTTACTGAAATTCTTCTAATATTACAAACTTGCTACCCAATTCAGTCTGCCAGTTTTGAATATTGGAGCAAAATAAATATTGTTCTTTGTTCACAGGTTTTACATCAGGAATCCTGGATTTCAGAACACCCCAGACATCAAGAACTCGGAGAGGTCTCCCAGCTCTTTTGCTACTCTAATGCAAATTATCCAAGGCAGCTGATTTAAAGGTTTATCTCAAGCAGATCTTATTGATAGGACAGAGAACAAGTCATTATCCTCATGTGCCATAAGCCATCATATTCATTATTACACAAATAAATATTTAATACTTTTACTTTTCTCTCTTTTATTAGTGGTGTTGCCATCTTAATCTGTTACATGTAGTGGAATGATTCAAAAATGCTTTAGGAATAATCCTGAGTTGCTGGCCATTGATTCTTTACAGCTACTTTCAAAATAGTTGAAAAAGTAATTAGAGCTAGAAACACACAGTTGAGTATGTTAAGAACACAAAATAATGTTGTTGTTAATCAACTGATTAGTATCATTTCTCAAAACCAGACACTTATTAAATAACAGAGAAACTTGACATGAGTTTCACAATCTTCTAAAATAACTCTGATAAGCTCCCAGCCAAAAGTTATCAAGAAAACTAGTGGTTACAGATGACGGGATGGTTTACAGGTCTGATTCTATACAATAACTGGGATATAAAAGATGGAAAATATATTGAACTTTCAACAAGGAATATAAAATATATTGAACTTTCCAACTTTAGTAGGATGTTCAAGAATTTACAACAGAAATGTTATCAAATGTACTATGTATTAGTACATCAGAAAAAAGGCTATGTGAGACGACGCAGATTGTGAGACAAGATCTGGCAACATCTGAAAACATCTAGCCAGGGGAATGGTGAAAAAGGTGGCTAAAAGTCATTGTAGGCAAATGTTTTTGACTTGTTTTTAATTCTGAAGTTCTAAATAAATTATAACCTTTCAAATAAAGAAATTTATTTTATTCTGAACAATGAATATATTTATCTATTTTTAGCAGGAGCTTGCATTCAAGGCATCATATGAATGATCAGCTCTTCAATGGGTGTTAAGTAGTAAATTTCAGCTAAGTTCACCAGACCTACACTGATTTATAACACTTTAGAACCCATTTCAAAGTAGTATTTAGAAAAAAATGTAAATGAAAGACTATTGATAAAATCAATGGTATTTATCTTATTTAATCTTGCTCATGTCATCTTTAAAGTACACACTTTACAAGTTAAAAAAAGGACTAAATAAGATAAGCAGGATGATTAGAAACATTAAAAAAATTAGGGAATTAAGTGCAAATCAAAGTATTCTTAAATTTTAAAAAGATAAAAATTAAAGGCAATATACAATAAATGTTTAAAGAATATTTGCCCTAATAGAAATATATATTAAATTAAAATTTTAAAGGGACAGATCCATTTACTTACAGTGATGTGTGGACTTTATCCTGTAGATTCTAAACAGTAGAATTTGATGCCTCCAGTGTAAAATTGAC